GGTAGGAGCCAGGGTGCCCCCCCAGGTCTCTTCTACCTTGGAAAAGTGGGGATGAGGAGGCAAGAAGCCACAATCTTGGGCCTCGCTTGTCTGGTGGGTGGCGCTCCCCCTGGGCAGGTTGAAGAGACAGGATGGGCCTCTGGAGACGAGACAGACACTGGCTCATCGGCCTAGTCCCTTGGAAGGTGGGCCGCAGAGGGGTCTGAGGACTGGGGAGCCTGTGCCAGTGCTGGGGAGGGGCGCTCAGGCCAGGCAGTGCCCTGCTGGCTCTCCTGGAACGGCACAGAGGTTGCTCGTTCTACTGCCCAGAAAGGGGCAAGACTTCTCCCCTCAGGAAGGGAGGAAGGCTGGAGGGTACCTGAGTGAAGCAGAAAGGTTCAGGGAAGAGGGTTCCCTGTTCCAAACTAGGGAACTATCTTTTGAGGCCCGCTCTCCTCTAGTTTTTCCCCACAACAGCAACCCTGCGAGGCAGAAAACAATAGAGAGAAATTAGCTTTTTGTTGAAATTAACAAAGCTGAAGATAATTTTAGATACTTGTGCTAGTTAGTCAGTCATGAAGTAAGTTTACCTAGTAGTGGCAATGCTGGCTGCTTAGAGTAAAGTCTCAGTTCAGTCCTTCTGCCTCCCTGCTGGGGGGGCAGCTACTCTGGGTCTTCTTTAAAAGCAGAAATAGGCATCTCGTTCCTCCGTGAACTTGAATAGCGGGTGTGCTTTGACCAGGCTGGAGACAGAAGCCACTCGGGGAGTGCTTCCGGTGGGCCACGGCTGACTCTCCTCCCCTGCAAGGGACCGAGCCTCACTGCCACCGGAGGGTGAGGCGAGTGGAGGCCTTCCCTTTCCGAGGCGAGGGGCCAGCCTCGACAAGGCCAGATCCTGCACCCGGACCCGGAAGGGCCTGCGGAGCGGCAGGGTCCATCCCTGCACGTGGGCTGTTTTGGAATGGCTTGGGGGTGGCAGTGGCTTTTCCGTGGCCTTTGGCCCAGCACTTGTGACACGTGCTCCCACTCTCTCCTCCTAGGCCGGAGGGGCACTGCCATGGAGACCTGCAACCAGAACCTGGCTGGTCCCCCCTGCCGAGGGCAGAAGCCCATTACTCAGGTGAGAGGCCTCCGCTGGCCTTTAGAGTGTGCTCAGGCCTCCTGGGTGTCAGGAGGGAGCCCGAATGGGGCTTTGCCAGCCCGAATGGGGTGTGAACCTGAGCCTAAGGCAGGCAAAGAAGTGGGGGAACCCATTCAGAAACTCTTCCGGAGGCAGGCGGCTCTGATGCCGGCTCAGCTAGCTTCCTGGCAGCAGATGAACCTTCCTGCCTCCTTCCCCCTCCCCATCCCACCCCATTTTTAAAGCTTTTGGCAACTTGCCCTGCCATCCCCTATCCATCCCATGGCCTGGCACTCTGCCTTACAGCCTGACTGGCTGGAGGATGGCAATTAAGAAAGAGGGGCAGGGTCTGCTCAAGGTTTCTGCCCCAGGGAGGCAAGGCTGCTCTCTGGTCTTGGCTGCCTGAGAACTGGCCATGAGCCCCTCGGGCAACTCACGGGCTCCAACACTTTGAGCGCAGAGCCAGAGCATCTTTGCATGCGCCGACCGCACTGCCGACCCCTCCCATCTCCACCTCTGCCTGCATCCCCCGGGCTGTTCTTGGAGGAAGAGGGGGCGTGCTGCTGCTGACGGCCTTTCCTCCCTGCCCTGCAGAACAGCCTCTTGGACCTGACTGAGATGGGCCGAGGTTTGAAGGTGCAGACGCAGAAGCCGCACCTGGTGAGCCTGGGCAGTGGGCGCCTTAGCACCGCCATCACTCTGCTGCCTCTTGAAGAGGGTATGTCCCGGTGGAGCCCTGGTGCCCTTCCCTGAAGCCTCTGCCTCCCCTCGAAGCAGGAGTGCCCCCATGCCCCCACCCCCGCTCACAGCGTTTCCTTGCAGGCAAGACAGTCCTGGGCTCCACTGCTGGGGACATTGTGCTACAGGGGGCTGGGGTGGCCCCCCAGCACTGCTTCATTGAGAACGTGTGCGGGACCCTCACTCTGCACCCCTGCGGCCATCCCTGTGCCATCGATGGGCTGCCTATCACCCACCCCACCCGCTTGTCCCAAGGTAAGGAGAGGCGAGGCTCTGCTGGGTGGGGCACAGAGAGACCTGCAAACCCATCGTGCTGTCCTGGGCCAGGTACTTACGGGGAATCCCAGGTTCTGGGTCTCTGAACTGGTTTTTGGACTCAGGTCTGTTCATCCCAGGGGGACAAGCATTGGTGCATGGCCCCTCTGGCACCCACATTTTCCTGATGGTGTGGGCCCACTCCGTTCCCTGGCTGGTGGACTTCCAGTTGGGCTGACCCTACTGCTGCCGAGCACTGCGGTGGGGGGGGGGGGGGCCCCCCG